CTGAAGGACAGCAGATTGAGGTGCTCCTAGTAGTTACCTGGAAGGATTGTAGAACAGAAGAGTCTGGATAATGAGTGGAAGCCTATCTGAACTGGGGAAGGGGAGAAAGATGAGAGTCCTCAACTGGGTGAACTGTGGTCAGTCTTTCTCCTTGTGTGTTCCTTGTCAATCTCCTTGTCTCCCCTGTGTCTGCTTCTGTTCTGTGCTTTGGTCTCTTCATCTGCTTTTCTCTCTCTTTCTACATTTGTCAGTCTGGCTTTGCATCTCTGTTCTGGTGGCGTGGTGTTAGAAGGTGCAAGCAGAGACTACATCTCCCATGAGCCTGTGTCCTCGCCATCCTATGGCCAGTTGGGATTCACCTTGTCCCCAAGCACCTTAGGAGCTGTGGTATCTCGATGGAGGAATCACAGACTTCATTTCCCATGGGGCCTTGCACTCCCAGCTCCATAGAAGCCGATGAGTGAGGAATACTAATGCATTTTGGAAGTTGTAGTTTTTGTTTTGCATTAAAGTGCCTTGAAAGCAAGAAGAGAACTTACCGCCTACAGTAATGAAATCCTAATGAATACAGTTTCACTCTATACTGCTCAAATCTCAGCACTTATCAACAATGATCAAATCTCAGCACTTACACAGTAATACAAACAATAGATCTTTGTCTGCTCACTGCCATTACAAAACTGATTTTTTAAGAAAATGCTTAATGTACTGGGTTATGATCTTAACATTTTGTGATTTGATAATAGGTGTTTACACTTTTACTAAACTTCAGTGTAAGAAAATTGAAGGACTTAATTTCCCATGGGGCCTTTCACAGGTTTGCCTTGAAGGATGAAGTGCACTATGGGTATTGTTGTTTTTTATTGAAAGAGAATGATCATTGAATATGAAACAAGAGGCATTGAATTTTTTATAGTGTTTCTGCGAAAATTTAACCACTATGTCAGAGTGACTGTTTTTTTTCAAATTAGCATCTTTGCTATGTTTGTCATAATAAATGACCGTCTTCATTAAATTGACATTTGCGTCACGTGCACTGTGGGAAATATAGTCTGCACGTCTCTGCACTTATCTCCCAGACCTGATCTAAAAAGGGAAATGAGATTTGCGCTGTTGCATATCCCATGAGGCCTTGCTTTGTAGTCCTTAAAGGTCCACTTCCAGACACACCATGGGAGTTGTAGTTTTAAACCTGTGACGATTGCAGAGGCAAGCCATGAGCAAAAAGGGAAACCGTTCATATTCTAAGGATGTTATCGCAGCATATTAACCGAACTAATAAAAACACACTTTGCAGATTCACAGTGGCATAATCAGTTTAGAGCGTTTTCTTTCAAATGAGTATCTTATCGGGGTGATTTACTCTTTATTATGTATTGACATTTACAGATCAATAAATTCATCAGTAAAAGGCAGCCGTGTGCATTGCATTCTTCTTTACTCCCCAGCTGAGTCCATGTCCTTCTCTCCCTGGGTCTCCTGCAGGGGGCGCTAGAGGTGTCTGTCAGTCTGGGAATTATGAGAGGTGCTGTTCACAGACAGAGGTCCGAAAAGGACTTGGACCCAGTATGGCGCTGTCAGACCCAGGTCCTGGCGGGCCCCGAATCTTTCGGTTTTTGTTCAGATCTGAGCTGTGCATTACAGAGCCGGGTGTAATGAGTCAATTGCTTAATTGTGGTTCACCCGTCATACTCCTTGCTATTGGAAAAGTACTCAGACATTTAAGCAAGTTGGGGTGGGGGTCTGAGTCCATCTGTCCTCTAACTTCAGGGTCACAGGGGAGCTGGAGTCTGTCCCAGCAAGCAAGGGGCACAAGGCAGGGTCCACCCTGGGCAGGACAGCTGCCCATCACAGGGCGCACACACAGAACAAGATGGGGGAGAACATGCAAGCTCCACACAGACAGCACTCCCCCCCGAGCCAGAATTGAGCTCAGGGGGCCCCACTGCACACAACACAGGCATGCTCACCCCTGCGACACTGTGCTGCCTGGGTTTAAGAGTCATCGACTGATGTGGACGAGACCAGCCTTCTTGCTTGATGCTTTAAATACAAGCGGAAGTGTGACGCACTACCAGAACCCGCCCACTAGAGGGCAGTACTCACCCAGCCAGAAGGGCCGCGTTCTTTTCATTGGTTCGAAAGCACAGCGAAGGAGGGTTGAAACGAATGGGGCTTCAGCACTTCAATGACCGCAGAAACGCCGCTTCAGCCGTTTTGTTAAAGCAACACCAAAAGGCGTTATGAGTTTTTGCAAGCACGCAACGAAGGAGCCCGAGGTTTGTTGAAACAGGAAATGACTATAAAATGAACATTTGAAAACGCAAACCTGAGGTTGTTGCCTGCCTATTCCACATGACTGTGAACTCTCACAGAAGCCATTCAGCACATGAGGAAAGTTATGCTGCATAGTTCTTATGGCCTGGGCAGGCCCATGCACGATGGCTGATTGTACGAGAGCCCAGGAGTTTGCATGGGTTTGTTGCTGGAGTGGTCTGAGCTGAGAGGGGAGGATAGTTCCTGAAGTCGTTGGATCCGTTTCTCAGCGGGGGCTGTTGGAGTCCCAGAGCTCTTGGGGGGGCTGTCCTGGGGTCAGTGTTTGCTCACTCTTCTGCGTCCAGCAGGGTGAAACCTCAGGAGCAGAGGACACAGTCTCACACTAGTAGTCACTCTTGGACACTCACAGTCACTCTTTTTTTCTCTGGATCTCACACTACTGGGGGGGGGTCGTTATATGATCACTACAGTGAGCCTCCCCCTCTCACAGATCCACATGTGTTCCTCGTTGCAGTCCGCAGGATGGAAAAGGAGGTCAGACTCATCCCAGTATCCCTCGGCACAATTCCCTCTCAGAAAGTTGTTGATAATTGTGCCCCTACGAGAGAGGAGATGAGCAGAGTTACTGAGTCATTCCGATCACACAGTGCCTACAGCGCCACCTTGAGGCCGCCACTCCCTCTGCAGCTCACTGACAAAATACTAAGAACCATCATGTTATTAGACACCTGTTTATGCAGTGATTCGATGAGATTCTAATAGATCAACCATTCACAGAAATGGCCAGGACTGAACTCCAAATAATGGTGTAATAAGCTGGAGTAAAGCCAAAATGAAGTGACTAGAATATCATACCTCAAAACCAAGACAAAAAACATTAAGAACATCTGGTTTTTCCAAAAATGAAGTGCTAGCTTCTTATATTTTCAGTTTCTTTAAATATATAATATTGTAGGAGAACTAAGTAATGGAAGATAAGTGTCTTCAGTCTGTTGTGATAAAGGGATGAAGTAAGTCTCCCAGACACAAGAGGGCACTGTGCGGACAGACCACCAGCTTCCATTCAAGATTGAACCAGAGTCCCAATAAACTCTTGTTACAATTAGAACTTGAATGTGGTTTTGGTGTGTGAAGCTGGGGTGTGTGAAGATAACTCTCAAACATGGTTTGAAACACCAACAAAAGAGTGTCTACAGCTGTTTCCAAGCCCTTGTATAACCACTGCCAATGATCTGCTGGGAAATAGAGGTAAGTATGTGTTTTATTTTTCTTGCAATAAATAGGTCTTGTGATGGTATCTTGCCACACTAAGTCTAAGGTACTAAGTCTCTTTAGTCTGAAGGGAGTGTCCCACACTGACAGGCTGAAGGGAGTGTCCCACACAGACAGGCTGGAGGAACTGAGTCTCTTCAGTCTGAAGGCAGTATCCCACACTGACAGGCTGGAGGGAGTGTCCCGCACTGACAGGCTGGAGGAACTGAGTCTCTTCAGTCTGAAGGCAGTGTCTCACACTGACAGGCTGGAGGAACTGAGTCTCTTCAGTCTGAAAGCAGTATCCCACACTGACAGGCTGGAGGACCTGAGTCTCTTCAGTCTGAAGGGACTGTCCCACACTGACAGGCTGGAGGAACTATTTTGTCTTGAACAAAATAGACACGTAGGGGACTTGGTTTGAGTATTTGCAGGCCTACAATGGCCCTGACAAGAGCAACCCATTGGATACCCTGAGAATCAACAGACACTGGAAGTCCACATCCAAGACATCTGGAGTTGATTTCCATCTTCAATGGCAAAGACTGGACAGCTGTCAGGACTATCTGGCCTTGCAGCACACTTACACTTCCCTGCTCAGAGTTCCTCCATCAACCCATTTCCAACTGGATGAGGTCTTCTCCCGACTCAGGCCGATCCAGTAACTAACAGGATTAACAAGACCCCCCAGGACCTCCTGCAGAGAGAGACAGAGCAGGTCAGCTCACCCTGGAACCCACTAGTCAGTCCAGCTGGACCCTAGGTCACCCTTCATCTGGGAGTGTGGAGATCTCACTGTCCTGACCCTG